TAGCGATTAGTACATGGCGTAGCAGTAGTCGTCAGTGATGACCGCATAGTTGTGTCATCTTTCGATTTCCGGCAAGAAATGTGTAAAGGAAGTGGTCAATGATACGCGAGTTCTGAATAATAATAAATCATTGATTATTATTATTATTATTATTATTATAAGACTAGCATCCCGTCATAATATAATATCATCGTATGATATAATATAATACGAGGTACCTACATTAACATACTAAATTATCATTATCGTAATTTGTAATTCGTAGTTGCATTGTTTGCGATGAGTGTAATATTAATCATACTTCATAGACGTAAAACTATGTATTTAAGCCATGCCTATGACAATAATTGACAATATGGGTTCATTATTATGTGCCCAGTTGTGCCGAACGTTCGTAAAAACACAATAAATCAAATGGTGTAAATTATTATTATTTGTTATTGTTATCATATTATCTCAAAATCAAATACATTATTCAACGTCGTGCGGCAGCCGACAGGACGTGGTGTGGTGCCGCACTGCACCAAGTGGTTATCACAATAATAATAATATTATTATCAATGATGTGGACCTAATGTGGTGAAAATATTAGGCACGCGGATATYTTGTTGTGTCCGTCTTACAAGTTACTAGTGCTGATGTGAGTAATATGGAAATGGAAAATGTACGCTTAGCAGATCACGTCTAATTCCGTTAGTTTAAAAATTAGAGTAAATTAACCTATTACAAAACTTAACGGTAAGAACATTATCTGTGTKTGTATGAGGGTTTTTTACGGTAACTTAGTTTTTCAGTGAGTGATGAGCATTTTTTTTTAATTTACGCTTTTTTATATACGCATAACTTGCTACAAAATTGAACTATCGTAAAAAATCCACATAAAAACACACAACACAYAACATAATGTTCCTACCCTTAAGTTTTGTAATAGGTTAATTAACCCTAGTTTTTAAACTAACGGAGCTAAGCGTGATCTGCTGAGCGCAATTTTTTTATGTTATGCACTTGTAAGACGGATGAGACAACAAATGGTTGTGTAGTCTTCTTAATGTTTTCAGTATAATCTTGAACACAAAATTGTGTGCACATACATAAGGTAATGAAAAAAAAAAAATGAGAAAGAGAGGTGGCGCCCGCACTCAAATATATCTATTTCAAGAAACAAAAAAAAATTTGGAAAAATTATAATTTAAGAAACTAAAAATAGCATTGTCAATGTTTTTCTGAATAACATATCCAGTCAACTTATTGAAGATTGAAAAATCATAAAGTATTTATAAATATTTCATATGGGGATTTTTTAATAGTTATATGTATTATTCATAAACATCTGGTCCAAAATTAGGAATTCTGTTGTAACCAAACGGGG